AGAGAGAGGGAGAGGGAGGGAGGGAGGGAGGGAGAGAGAGAGGGAGGGAAGGAGAGAGAGAGAGAGAGAGAGAGAAGGGAAGCGCAAGTGCCTCTCTCTGTCTCTCTCTCTGCAAATGGTGGAGGGAGACTGGGAGCCACAGTAGAAGGCTGAAAGAGCCACATGCAGCTCCAGAGCCGCGGGTTGCCGACCCGTGGTCTAGTCTAATGAAGAGGGGTGACATGATAGCAGTCTTTCAACGTTTGATGCGTTGCTACAAAGATGAGGGGGTCCAGCTGTTCTCCAAAGCACCGGAAGGCAGGACAAGAAGCAACGGATGGAAACTAATCAAGGAGAGAAGCAATCTGGAACTAAGGAGAAATTTCCTGACAGTGAGAACAATTAACCAGTGGAACCACTTGCCTTTAGAACAGGGGTCTTCAAAAATGTGGCCCTTTTATGACTTGTGGACTTCAACTCCCAGAATCCCTCAGCCAGCATGGGGGAACTATGGCGCTTTCATGACTTATGGACTTCAACTCCCAGAATTCCTCAGCCAGCGTGCCTGGCTGAGGAATTCTGGGAGTTGAAGTCCACAAGTCATAAAAGGGCCAAGTTTGAAGACCCCCGCTTTAGAAGTTGTGAATGCTCCCATCACTGGAGGTTTTTAAGACAAGACTGAGCAGCCATTTGTCCGGAATGTCTATGGAGATTCTCCACCATCCAGGTTATTGTTGTCCCAAAAGTGCTGTTGCAAAAGGCAACTGGACTTCGTTTTTCCTTGGAGATGGTTGGGTTCTCGTCCAAGCTTTATGGATGAGACACGAAATGTCTTCAGGGAAAAGCAAAGTCCAGTTGCCTTTTGAAAAAGCACCTTTGGGATTCATCCGGAATGACTTAGGATCCCTTGCTTGAGCAGGGGGTTGGACTAGAAGACCTCCAGGCTCCCTTCCACCTCTGTTATTCTGTGTTGTATCTGGGTCAGTCAGTGCAAAGAATAGAGGAAGCAGAAGAGGAGAAATAAACAAGAGAAGAGTGTGTAGCAACCCACAGGGCCATCCCTGTCCATAAGTGTAAAAAAATAAAATAAAAAACAGCATTTGCCCCAAAGATCCTACAGTTCCTATCTTGAAACTTATTCTTGGAATCAACAATTCAGGTCTTTTGTGTGTTTGAAACGGAAAACAGCTATTGAGGTGAAGTAGGCTCACTTGACATGCAGAGGGGCAAAGTGGCGGGGGGGGGGGTTTCAACCTAAAGGCAAAATAGCTGTTTTTTTAAATTATTATTTATTTTTTTGTGACACCCTGCCAACCACTTCTTGGGTGGGTCCGTTTGCGGTTTTTCGGTTCTGGGTGTAGCAGTTTCTCCTTCCTCTTGCTGTGTAGGTATGGCCCCTTTTGTATTTTTAACGCGCAGACCCAAAAAAAAAAAAAAAAAAGAGGAAAAAACACACAATGCACTCGAAGACGACGCACAGAGGCTTCGGGTTAAGTCACATCCTAGTAATTTTCATCACCGCATGTGAACCTTGAGGCGATTACCAGATGAATCACTCCACAGCACTGAGCAGTTGCTGGTGAGGTGGACTCATTTTTGAGGAGGTGAGTTGTTTTTTTGGGGTGGGGGACAAACTTTTTTTTTTAATATGTATATTAATATATATATATATATTAATATATATACATATATATTTGCTTTCCATCTCTTCTCCATTCAGTCGTTCAACATTCCCCAATTTTCTTTGCGACGTCTCTTTTCGTTCCCCTGCTCCTGCCTCTGGGATCACTGGAGGGACAGCTAGCAGCCAGGTGCTGAGAGAGGAGCTGCGTTCGAACTCTGCCCTAGACCATCATTGGCTTAACCCTAATTTGCTTGGCAAGCCACGATGGGCTAAGGCTAAGACCGTTAACCCAGACTGATATCCCAGAACGGATTCTCACCGCATCTAATGTCCAAACCCTTTTGGACCAAAAGTGATGTAGATTATCCATCCCAGTGATTGGGGGCTGCCCAGCCTTGGTAATACGACGGGCAGCTATAATCAAGAAATAAAAAAAACAACACACAAATCTGTTAGTCTATTTTGAGTAACAACATATCTCTGGCTAAAGGAGGGTTTCCCCCTTGCTTTCTTGTCACTGGACAAAAAACATACGGGGAATCCCGTGCCCACTCTTTTACGAAAAGAGAGAAAAAGAGATAAGCTTTGATTCTCTAATCGCCTGTCTCAGACAGCTGTTACACAGCAGATCCCTTCCTTATCTCTCCCTGGAGATTCTGGCGTTTTGAATCTGGGATCTTCCACTCTCGGATCTATGGTTGTCTCTATAAATCTCAAGATTGGAAGCAACCCGCTCAAGTTTAGGAGAAAGACTGCAGAATTTCTGCACAGGTTTCGCCTGGAAGCGAAGTTTCACCTGACTTAGTCACAAGTTGACCTGCGTGTTTCAACTTGGCTGCGTTCACACAACCTAGTCAAGTCAAGACTCGGCTTGATTAGCGTTTCCCTTCATTTTTCCACCCACTCCTCGTTCAGCATATTCTGCGCCTCAACCCGATGGGCGAATTTACAGCTCAGTGTAATGTGTGAATGCAAAAACATGGGTTTAATTACTGGGTTAAGTGGGTGATATGGACCCAGCTGTTTTGCCGATTTGTCTTTCCATGGTGGGGTCAGCTCATGGTAGAGATGGCTTTGATTTCTTTGCTTTTGGCTAATGAGAGGGGATCTAGGACAAGATCGAACAAACTATGTTTAAAGTAAATCATGGCTTCGCATAAGGAGCAATTTGCAGCCATCAAGCATGTCCACGTGTTAAGCTTTTATTTACTAGGGGTGTTTGAAATGGATTAATTCTGGAAGCAGCAATGGTCAAAAAAACAGAGCAGTGATTAAATGACATTTTTTTTCCTCCCGCTGTGCAAATCTCTATTTTTGAAATTAACATAGGACCAAATCTCTATTTTTTTCCTTTCCTGTGCTCCTTCCCACTGCTTTTGCTTTACAGCACGTGGTTATTTTACCACTTTCCATCTTTTTTTTTAAATGCATTTTTTTTCCTTCACCGCAACACTTTTATTCAAGAGCTTAAGTCTGAACTGTTCTTTTAGCGGTCGAAAGATTTACGGAGCAGTTTTCGGCAAGTACTTCGATTAGAAAAATTGATTCCACGTTTTGCGTGAAATCTACCCTGGATTTAGCATCCCGGGATGTCCTTTTTTAATTTTTTAACTGCAGCAGACCCGCGATTTAGGATAATGGGCTAAAATCTCTTTTTTTGAACTAAGTCATCGGTCGTCATCCTTGGTTTACTGACTCAGCCACAACTGGTTAGGGTGACCCAAATATAAGAAACCAGGATTTACATATTCCGGTGGCCGGAATGAAGCATCGCGCTAAATTATAACCAAGCCAAAAAAACCAACAACCAGGTTATGACTAAGCTTGATTCGTGAATGTAAATTACTCATCAAACGAGGGAATTCTTCCAGAGTCCTCTAGCTAGGTTTTTTACAAACCGCACACAAAATGCTTTATTTATAACGTCCTCCCACCTTCCAGACCTTTCAACCACAACAAAAATGAACGAATAGAAATGAAACCAGGGTTAAAATTAGTTGTATTGATCGATGCAATGTCTTTATTGATTTGTGCAAAATCTGTCCGTAATTCTCCCGACCCTTTAACTATTCCTCTGCTGGGAGAAAATGAAATCCAGATGTAGAGCTGTAAGCTTTGCGATGACACGGCTGCGTGTCCGGGTGGTCAGCAGTGCAGGGGTGGCGTTAAGTCTCATTCCTGTTTGCCAGAGGTGGTGGAGATGGTGGTCCTACCAGATTAAGGGGTTGGACTAACTCTAGAGCAGGGGTCCTCAACCTTGGCAACTTTAAGACTTGTGGACTAACTCCCAGAATTCCTCAGCCAGCAAAGCTGGCTGTGGAATTCTGGGATTTGAAGTCCACAAGTCTTAAAGTTGCCATGGTTGAGGACCCCTGCTCTAGAAGACCAACTTCTGGTCCATCTTCATTTCTGGAAGTTTCTTGCAGGATGTTGAGTCACTAAGTCTTTGTCTGCCCAGCCTACCTTGCAGGGGTGTTAAGAGGAAAGAGGGAAGACTATATACTTGGCTTCGAAGTCCTAGAGGTAATTGCTCTAAAGCAGGGGTCTTCCAACGTGGCCCTTTTATGACTTGTGGACTTCAGCTCCCAGAATTCCTCAGCTAGGCGTGCCTGGCTGAGGAATTCTGGGAGTTGAAGTCCACAAGTCATAAAAGGGTCACGTTGGAAGACCCTTGCTCTAAAGGCTTTATAAATGTTAATAGTACAGATGGTCCTCGACTTACAACTGTTTGTTTAGTGACAATTCGAAATTACAACGGCACTGAAAAACTGACTTATGGCCGGGTTTCCCACTTACAACCGCATCCCCACGGTCACGTGATCCAAATGTGGGCACTTGGCAACTGGCCTGTATTTATGGCAGATGCACAGTCCCGGGGTCATGTGATTGCCACTGCGCCCTCCCCAAGCCAGCTCCCCACAAGTCAAGTCATTTGCCCTAATGACTGTGCGATTCACTTAACAACTGCAGCGATTCTCTTAACAACTGCGGCCAAAAAGGTCGTAAAATGGGGGGCACAGCTCACTTAATCACTGCCTTGCTTAGCAACGGAGATTTTGGGCTCAGCTGTGGTCATAAGATGAGGACCAGCCGCCATAATGAATCTCATGCCATTAATAAATACAAACCACCATTGCAGCTGGTACAACAATCCAGTGTCTTCCCTACTGTCCAGCATGGTGTGTGTGTGTGGCGGGGGGTGTCTTTTGTGTCACATGCAGCATTGGGGGTGAAATCACTGCAATTCAGTTAGCAAACACGGTCGTTAAGTGACTCTGCTTGTCGCAAGGTCGCAAAAGGGGATCACACTCCCCCCGGGACGCTGCAACCGTCATAAATACATGCCAGTTGCCAAGCGCCCAAATTTGGATCCCATCACCACCGTGGCGATGCTGCCACATCCTTGAGGGTGAAAACCGATCATAAATCACCTTTTTCAGTGACGTTGTAACTTCGAACAGTCACTAAGCGAATGGTTGGAAATTGAGGACTACGCATAAATAAAATGTAATATCAGATTAATAATAATAATAATAATAATAATAATAATAATAATAATAATAATAATAATAATAATAGTAAAGTTGGAAGGGACCTTGGAGGTCATCTAGTCCAACCCCCTGCTCAGGCAGGAAACCCTATACCATTTCAGACAAATGGCTGTCCAGTCTCTTCTTGAAAACTTCCAGTGTTGGAGCATTCACCGCTTCTGGAGGCAGGTTGTTCCACTGGTTAATTGTCCTCACTGTTAGGAAGTTTCTCCTTAGTTCCAGGTTGCTTCTCTCCTAGGTTAGCTTCCACCAGTTGCTTCTTGTCCTGCCTTCAGGCGCTTTGGGGGTTCTTTTGTCTCCCTTTCTTCCTGTCAGAAATTTCATCCATTTCACTTATTCTAAAAGGAAAACCACCTTTTTCCCTCTCCCCCCACCACTACAAAAGGCCTTTTTTTGCAGCTGGAAGAGTTTGAATTTCTCAAGTCTCTCTCTTTTGATCGTCGAGGTCATGTACTGATCAAAGAGAGCCAAGCGGTAAATTGATTGCACCACGCTTGATTAGGCAACCACCCCGCAGATTGCTCAAGGCTTTTTAATAAGAACCGGGGTCGCGTGCCGGCGAAGAAAGAGAAAGCCGGTAAACTGATTGCATGGCGCTTTGAAACAGTGCAAACCCAAAATTAGAAAAACAGCGTGCTGACGCTTGTGGAAAAGGCAGGAAATATTGCTGAATTCCATTGCAACATTTTTCATCTGCTTTCCCTTTTTCTCTCTCTCTTCAATTTCCACCAGGCTTTCTTCTGCGGTCCACGGGCGCCTCTACCGGAATCGTTCTGCAACCTGGGCGAAGAATTTGAAGGTGGCTGCTGCTCGTTGGCACATCAGTTCCTCTCTGGAGATGCTCGGACAGCCGTTGCATCTTCCCATCCAATTAGGCTTCTCCGAAGTCGAATTTGGACACCGGGTTTTGCAACCCACGTGTGACCGCTGTCCTAAAAGTGGCTCTCTTTTCCCCTGCTAAAAGCAGAGAAAACATCTGGTGCCATATCTCAGCAAACGTATTTCCAACGGCAAGTCCACTGGCGTTGCCACTGCGATTCCTGGTTTGAGTGGCAGTTTCTTTTCTCCGCAACATGACGGACCAAAGCCATCTCTCCTTCTCGTCCTCCTCTTCCTCCTTCTCGTCCTCCTCTTCCTCCTTCTCGTCCTCCTCTTCCTCCTTCTCCTCCCCTCCTTCTTCATTCCCTACTTCCGCCTTCCAGCCACCTCTCGGCTCAGTCCACGGCCAGCGGTCCTGCTCCCTCCTGACCGCCACCGAGGACTTCAACATCGTCCTGTATCATTACAACCTCACCGGACGGTTGAGCCACCGCCGTCCTGAGGAAGACCACTTAGATGTCCTCAAGATCATCATCCTCGCCGCCAGCTGCCTCATCATTCTGGAGAACCTGGTGGTCCTGCTGGCCATCGTCTTGAAGGTGAGAAGCCGGCGTTGGATCTACACCTGCCTCGCCAGCATCTCCTCCAGCGACCTGCTGGCCGGAATCGCCTACTTGATCAACCTCTGCCTGTCGGGAAAGACCACCTTCCAGCTGTATCCCTACATGTGGTTTCTCCGCGAAGGGATCCTTTTCATCGCCTTGGCTGCCTCCACCTTCAGCCTGCTGGTGACGGCCATCGAGCGCTTCAGTGCCATGGTGAGGCCCATCGCGGAAAGCGAGTCCGTCAAGACCAACCGTCTTCGGAACTGCATTTTCTTCTCCTGGTTCTTGGCCTTCGTGATTGGCCTGCTTCCCCTGCTCGGGTGGAACTGCATTTGCGACGTGCCCCGCTGTTCCACCTTGCTGCCTCTTTACGCCAAGAACTACATCCTCTTCACGGTGGTCATGTTCAGCATCATCCTGGTGGGCGTGGTAAGTCTCTACTGCTCCATCTACTGCTGGGTCAGGAGAAGAGCCAAGATGGGCTTCTCCAACGGAGGCCGAAAGAGGTCCCTGCGGCTGCTCAAGACGGTGCTGCTCATCCTGTTCACCTTCCTGGTTTGCTGGATCCCTCTCTTCCTCCTGCTGCTGATCGACATCTTCGACAGGAGCAAAGCCCTGAGTCTGCAGAAGGTCTTCGGCTGGTTTGTGACCTTGGCGGTCGTCAACTCGTTCGTCAACCCCATCATCTACTCTCTGAAAAGCAAAGAGGTGAGGAGAGCCGTGGTGGAGCTCCTCTGCTGCGGCTGCATCTTGGCAGGCTGGCAAGGTCCCAGCGGCTGCCTCGCCCCCAGCGACCATCTCCCCAGCTCTTCCACCGAGGTGGGCAGCTCCCTGAAGGTGCGCGAGAGCTTCCGCAGCCCGGTGATACAGAAGCGGAGTGTCAGGAAAGAACCTCTGTCCAGCAATTCCAGCGTGTTGAGCGCTTTGGTGGTCAGTGACGGTCCCGGCCAACCTTAACTCCCAGGGTCAGGAGATGGTCTTCTGCAACATACTGAGACCCTGGGATGGCTGATGGCCGAAGTGCATGAGGGAGTTGCTCGGTCCACTGCCCTCTAAGATGACCAGTGGTCAGCCAAGGGCTGAAATGCAAAGGATGTCCAGTTCTGAGTGAGTCTTCCTTGGGCAACCTCAATTTCACACGTTCTGAAGAGGTTCCTTATTCCTAACTTCCCTGGCTGGTGTCGTTGGCTTCCTTCCCTTTCATCCTGTTGTTTGGCCTTGGCTTCTGACACAACCCTTCGTTGTCACTGACTGGTTTCTTGCAGGAACACAATCTTGATTTCTCTGCAGGAAAGCAACTGAATCTCAAAAGCTGGACCGGCATATTATGTTACTGCACGGACACAGAGGTCTTCTCACGATTCTGATCAAGATGAGGAAACTCCATTAAGAAAAGAGGAAACAGGCAGTCCTCGACTTACGACAGTTCTTTTGGTGACCGCTCAAAGTTATAACGGTACTGAAAAAAGTGACTTAGGACTGTTTTTCATGCTTACGACCGTGGCATCTCCATGATCATAGGATCAAAATTCAGATGCCTGGCAACTGACTCATATTTACGACAGTTGCAATGTCCCAGGGTCATGTCATCCCCTTTTGCGACCTTCTGACCAGCAAAGTCAATGGAGGAAGCCATATTCACTTAACAACCGGGTTACTAATTTACCAAGTACAGTGATTCACTTAACAAATGTGGCAAAAAGGGTCATAAACTCACGTAACAACTGTCTCACTATTGCAGTCAATAAGTTGAAGACTACCTGTATTCCATTTTGGGACATTCTTACTGGATTGGTACATCCAGTATTTTTTTTTTAAATGAGGCTTACAGCAATCAGAACGAGAAAGATACTTTACTTCAATTCAAACAGTACAGTGGGACAATCTCTATATTTTATTAAGACTTTATTAAGCCTTATCATCCATCCATCCATTCATTGAGATGACAACTGAAATTGTCAAGGGATTATTTGCCACTTGTTTAAAAAGTTACAGCAGTTACAGCAAAGGCCAGTTCTTCATAGGAAATATTTTTCCACTGTGTATGTTGAAATGGGTTTTCTTTCGCCCTGTGTAGACTGTTGAAACAGGGCCGGTTCATCTTAGACTGAACTTTCTTCCTAAATGTATTTTTTTTTTTTTACAAATCATTCTTTTATTCATGAACTGTCTTGCAAACCGTGGTAAACGGAAATAACAATGAGTACAGAAATCTGTGTGTGTATGTATGCTTTCTTTCCTTTCTTAACGTCCCTCGAAAGCTGCTTCTTCAGATGGCAATAAGTATTAAATAAATAAGCTAAACATACTCTGCGTGGTTGGAAATAATTAAATTTCCCAATAGTGTATTTTGTGTATTGGCAACAGGGAGGATCTGTTTTGTGTACTGGGAATAAAAACAACAACAACCAAATGCACATTTCAAAGTGTTTCCAAGTGTTTTCCAAACTCAACAACTTTTAAGATTGTGAGCTTTATATCTGTGGAGATTCTTAGTCATCCGGGTCTTGGTGTCCCAAAGGTGCTTCCCCCCCCCCCCAAAAAAAAAGACAACTGGACTTTTGTTTTTCTTTGGACCTTTCATTTCTCATCCAAGAAGCTTCTTCAGTTCTGATAGTTCTTCAATTAAGTCAGAACTGGAGAAACTTCTTGGATGAGAAGGGAAAACAAAATTTGGGACATTGTGGGCTTCAACTCCCAGAAGGCTGGCTGGGGCCTTATGGAAATTGGAGTCTACACATCCTCAAGTTGCTAAGGTTGAGAAACATCAAGAGATTGTAGCAATCAATGGGTGAAGAGTATGAATTGCATAGCATGACATAAAAAAGGACAGATCAGAACATTTTGTGCCGCACAAGGGTTTCCCTTAAAGTTTGAGAAATTCCAAGAGGACAGCCCTTCTTAAACAAGAGGAAATGTAGTTTTTTGGAGATCTTATGTCACTCATCCATTTACAAAAGAGGACCTGAGAATAATTTGCATCCGGAGCAGCTGTTGACCAATGCTTACCCAGGATGTCGTAACTCCTGGTGTTTCCTACCCTGGAACAGGATTTTATAGATTAGTCATACAAAATGTATGGGGGCCTAAAACCAGGGTGCTCGTACTATTTTCAAACTATTTACAAACCACTCCTTGTATCTGATGCAGTGAGCTGCATTTCACAAATAAAATCTGAATAAAATGTGTGAGTCGCAAAAGAGGCTCTCAGACGCCTGAGTTTGGACTATCCTAGGCCCTGCTGACTGGGGAATTCTGGGAGTTGAAGTCCATATACCTCAAAGTTGCTCTATAACACAGGTCTTCTCGTACGATATTTAACAATACAGATAAGTCCTCGAATTGAGCCCTAGGTTTGCATTGCTCAGCAAGGCAGTTGCTGGGTACGTTTGGCTCCATTTTGTGACCTTTTTGCCACAGCTGCCTAAGCAAATCGTTGAAGTAGTTAAATGAACCATGCAGTCATTAAACAAATTTGACGTCCCCCATTGATTTTACTTGTTCGAAGCTGGCTGGGAAGATTACAAATTGTGATACACATGACCCCAGGAAAGTGCAACTGTCATAAATACGTGCTAGTTGCCAAGCGCTCAGCTTTTGATCACATGACCATGGGGATGCTGCAACAGTTGTAAGTATGAAAAACAGTCATAAATCACTTTTTCCAATGCCCGTTGTAACTTCGACCAGTCACTAAA